GGATGTGGACATCACATATGGATGCGTCTCTGTCCTTGAGTATTGGGTGCATGAAATATTCCATTCCACCTAGTGTCTGTACTATACCTGTCCTGCGATGGACTGAAATTATGTCCACGGTGTCCCTTGTGGTTGTCTGTAATAAGCGGGGATGTGCTGGTGTACAGTCAGGACCAACGCTGCTCTGTCTCCACGAGGACTGGAGATCAGCCCTGCCGTGTCTCTGTGTCTTCTGTCCTTTGATCTTTTGGTGCCCCCGTTGGTGGAGCAACTCTGGATGCCAGCGCCTTCCAGAAGGACCTTCCTAAAAAAGATAATTAAAAAAAATATATTGCCCATTAGGAGATGGATTAAAGGGGTCAGGCCCCCGCGCCGATCAAAGCAGAAACCTGCTGATATTAATGCGTTTTTATTTATTTTCTCAGGTCATCTGGGATCCCCTGGAGAGCTGCATGCCGGAGACTATGAGCATTGGGTTAGCTCCTTTAAGGGAAGAGCAAAGCTTGTGTGGATAGAGGTTGGGCTGCAGTGCGATGGATACAATAAGAAGCTACGCGGCGTGGCTGCTGTGGTTGTGGTTGCTAGGACACAGTGACGGCGTTTTGCGATGGACTACGGGGAAGGACAGGTCAGAGGACACGGATGGAGGAACTCTGAGGCGCTCGAAACGCGGCTGGATGTGGAACCAGTTCTTTTTACAAGAGGAGTACATGGGGACCGAGAAGCAGTACATCGGAAAGGTTGGTATCCCGGGAAACCATTTGCTCCACAGCGCCACCTTTCTCGCCAGCTGGAAAATGCAGCTATCACATTTGAATTTGAGTGACGCCGATTCCCAAAGCAGCCAGCTCGCTGCCAACTTTCTGGGGAAAATGATTTGCAAAAGTCTGCCGTGAAGATGTCTGTTATATTTGACGGGGTGAAAAGTGACCGCCTGTTACCGATACCAGCAGAAGTGTATGTGTAATCTTTCAGCTGACAGTGAGACTTTACAGTGTCAGTGTTCATTAAATTGTCATCATATAAATATAGTAATGTTTTTTTTTAGTATTAATACTAGAACATTCTGCTGCATATAGCATGAAATAGTAATATAGAAGAGATTTATGGCGCATATAAACAGACATGTAACTAAAGTTAACGTAAAATAGTGATATTTGATTGATAAAATAATCCAGTAGTAACTATTTTTTACCTGTTTTATTGTTTTTTTTTCACCCTTTCCAAAACCCCAGAGTAAGAAACTTACAGACCTTTAGTTTCTGAAGAAAGCTCGACTATCCTTTCATCCTGCCACTTACCAGACTGCGTACTTATCCTGACTTTATAATCATTTGTGGAATTAAATTAAAGTTAAACCGGCAGTTCAAACAGAAATATTCATATTTACGTTCAAATTCATTATTTATTCTTGGCTAGAATTCGATTTGCTGAATTAGATTTTGGTTCAATATTTAAAGTGGAATGCTGGTGTGTGAAATGCCTGAAGCAGAACCTTCCAGAATGAATTTGTAATTTATTGGAAAGGGGCAAAAAGTCGCCGTGTGCGTGACCACCGCTGACTTTCTGCCCCCCTCCCCCGCCCCCCCCCCAGCTCCAGTCGGACCTGGACAAAGGTGACGGCAGCGTGCAGTACATCCTCTCAGGGGAGGGGGCCGGATCTATCTTCACCATCGAGGAATCCACCGGCAACCTGCACGCCATAAAGCGTCTGGACCGCGAAGAGAAGGGCCAGTACATGCTGAGGGTCCGGGCTCAGAACAAGATCACCAGGCAGCCCATCGAGCCCGAGACCGAATTTGTGGTAAAGATCCACGACATCAACGACAACGCCCCGACATTCACCAAGGAGCTGTACACAGCCGGCGTGCTGGAAATGTCACCCGTGGGTGCGTCTCCATATTACTGCTTCTGTGGTGCTGATGAAACACTCTCAGAAAGAGAGGCTTCGTCAGCATAGACTTTTTAATGGCCAGTTTTCGATTCTTCTAAAGTGACACGACCTCCCCCCCCCCCAGGCACGTCTGTGACTCAGGTGACGGCCATAGACGCTGATGACAGCACGTACGGTACCAGCGCCAAGCTGGTGTACAGCCTGCTGGAAGGGCAGCCCTACTTCTCGGTCGATCCGGAAACAGGTCAGTGTGCTTACACTCACGCTTACACTTCTATATTAACAATAATTATCATAATAATAACCCCGACCCTGCTACTGCTTCCCAGTTGATTCGGAGACGGGTCAGTGTGCTCATACTCACAGTAACCCACTTCGCCTACAAGGAAATTTGAATATTATGTTTTTAATGTAAGGATTAAGGTAATTTGCGATTTTCCCCAAACACATTAGTAGCACATTATAGTGTACCATTATGTAGTATTTAGCATTCTACACCTGGGTCATAAGACAAGCACTTCATTAATAATTCTTTGTAGTTTAATCTTACATGTCTGGTCTGTACTGTCTTGGTCTGTGTTGCCTAGTCTGTACTGTCATGGTCTGTACTGCCTAGTCGGTACTGCTTGTCTGAACTGTCGTGGTCTGTACTGTCATGGCTGTACTGCCTGGTCTATACTGTCATGGTCTGTACTGCATGATCTGTACTGCTTTAGTCTGTACTGCCATGGTCTAGGGAATGTGCAGTGTGTACTTTTCAGATATAAATGTTTTTGCCACGTTGTCGCTGCCCCTCCCCCAACCGACAGGCATCATCAGGACAGCCCTCCCCAACTTGGACAGGGAGAAGCTGGCCAGTTACAAGATAGTGATCAAGGCCAAAGACATGGCAGGGCAGATCGGGGGGCTGTATAGCTCAGCCACTGTCAGCATCACCCTGCAGGATGTGAACGACAACCCGCCACGATTCCCGCAGAGTGAGTCCCCCCCATAGATGGATGGATAGATGGATGGATGGATGTATGGATGGATGCATGGATGGATGGATGCATGGATGGATGGATGGATGCATGCATGGATGGATGGATGGATGCATGGATGGATGGATGGTTGGATGCATGGATGGATGGATGGATGGATAACCAGCTTGCCAGCCAGCCCTGATTAAATGGAAACAAAATGTTCCTGAAATCTGTAACTGGAAGCCAGTATCGACCCAGCCCTGACTGATCCAGGAAAACCTCCTAACATGCTAAAGCCGGCTTGCAGCTTAAGGCTTAATGTTGTGATCCGTTCCCTGATAGCCTATACAATCCCAGCTCGATGTCTGAGCTAAACTGAGCGCCTCTTAGCCTCTGCATTTATACAGCGATAATCATCTCGGGTCGTACCCGCACTTTCTGTGCTCAAGGTCTGTCTGAGTTCAGCGCCCTCGAGGCAACGGAGGTCGGATACCTGGTGGGGAAGGTGAACGCCATAGATGCAGACGTCGGCAGAAACGCCGAGGTCACCTACAGCATCGTCGAAGGGGACGGGTTGGACATGTTCAAAATCACCACGGAAACGGCCACCCAGGGAGGCGTCATTACTGTGAAGAAGGTGAGGGAAGCAGTTAACGGAAATGACTGGCCCCCCCTGCTGGCGTAGGGTGGGTACTGTATAACTGAAATGAAAGACTAATTAATTTCGTATTGTTTTTGATTATTTCAACCTGAAGTGTATAACACAGTTTTGAAGTTTACCAGTTTTGGTTTGATGGTATTTGACCTGAGATAACCCTGAAGATACCTTTACTGAAGCAGGACTTCATTTCTCCTTTAAATGCAGTTGTGCTTCAGATTTGACACCAGCCTTGCTGGCTGATTGCAGCTTTAGGGACCAGTTTAAGGTCATTTCTGAAGGCAGGGGTGTCACTAGACATTTTTGGCCCCCAACCCCGACCAATCCAGCTATGTTCCAAATATTTAGGGCCCCTGTCACTCAGGGGCTCTTAGCATCATCCTACCTTGCCCCCGCTCTACAGCACCCCTGCCAGAAGGTCCTGTCACACCAATGGCTCTGACTGAGTATCCCACCCCCCTCCAATGTGCCGCAGCCTTTGGACTACGAGAAAAAGAAGTCGTACACACTTAAGGTGCAGGCTGAGAACACGTACCCAGACCCCCGCTTCCTATGGGGAGACTCGGCCAAGGACTCGACCACGGTGCGCATCACCGTCAGGGATGTGGACGAGCCCCCGATATTTGAGCAGGCCTCCTACATCATGGAGGTGAAGGAGGATGTAGCCGTGGGAACAGCCGTTGGCTCCGTGACGGCCTCCGACCACGACGCCATACGCAACCCCGTCAGGTAGGGGGCACTCTCGCTAAACCCAGGAGAACCATATACCGTAGGGTAGAAGAGGGGCGATCCTAGGATATGACGTGTAGGGGGGCTCAGCTCCCAGTAGATTTACTATGCCCCCCCCAACCGGGTTTTGTACGATAAAATTTGCCAAGGGGGTTGGCGGGTCAAATCACTAACTGGATTTAGAAAAATAATTTTAAAAGGGGATTGAGAGAAAAAAAACGTGGCTGGACCCCCCTAAAATGGGGTCTAGAATAGCCTATAGAGTGGAATCACACCTGTCCGTAAAGCGATATCACATTATTTCATTAAAACATGGCCTGCTATGCTAATGGCTAAATAAAGTGGAAATAGTAATCGGTGCCCCCATGTCAAATGATAATAAGCTACGCTTAAGAATGTAGCTGCTTAGCAGATTAACAAAAGATCAGTTCTATTAGAGGCAGATGGCAAATTTGTGAGAAAATTAGCGTAGCAATTAGGAGCTGCTCATTTTTATAGCCACTGAATTTTGCTTAGAAATACAAGGAGTACAAAGTCTTTCACTTCCAAGCACTAAAATGGAGAGAGATCGTTTAAAAAAAAAAACAAAATAATAGTCCATGTTAATTTACACTGACCTCACAATCAGGTCTTCCTCCAGAAGTCTGTCCGGTTGCAGTTAGTCATGAATGATAACTGACTCCTTGTGATTGGGGCCACTCAGAGCCGCGAGCTGAGCACTCGATGAGAGTGCACTCAGCGGAAATGACACTTCCGGCTCATTCCACATCGTTCTCTTCTGACCCGCTTCACATTTACCGCGACAAACTCTTTAAGCAGGCCCCAGTTTTTACATTTTTTTATTGGAAAAGCATTTCTCTAGATTCTCACTCTGTTGTTTTTGCAAACGATGTGGGCCAATCAGGGGCCGCAACTAGGTCACCTGATTCCACTGGAGTTCGGTTTGCACTGTGCACTGTGTTGGGCGTGTGCAGTGTGCAGTTCTGAAAACGTAGCTGTGCCCTACACTCCTGCTCGCATTCCACTACTACGAAACATTCTGTGGAACGTTCTGGCATCACGGAATGGTCCACAGTAGTAGGTCTTGGCCCCTTTTGAGTTGCTTGTGGCTCCTTGGTAACATGACTTGCCAGTCTTATTAATTCTGGAATCCCTTTTTTTTGGGGGGGGGGGGGTTGCAAATTCCGTTAGAAGATGGACCAGAACAATCTGCAGGCACCATGTCCAGGCTTGGCAACAATCTACTGAATGGGCTTTAATAATGTTTGACCAGGTCACCCAGAACCTGAACACTCACCCAGAACCTGAACACTCGTGTGTTTCTTCATTAATTTCTTTTTTAAATAGGTACTCCATCAATCGTCACAGAGACCTCGACCGGCTTTTCAGCGTGGACCCGGTCAACGGATCCATATTTACCCAGAAGCCACTGGACCGCGAGGAAGCCGTCTGGCACAACATCTCCGTGATCGCCACCGAGCTCAGTAAGCAAGGCTCCCCTGACAGCTAAAGCGGCAGCAAATGACTGGCCGCCGGAATATCACCTCTGATTAAAACATAAAAGTGAACCGCGGGCACAGACGACGCACGATGGCGTGAAAGATGTCCCTTCCCGCTTCATAATCCCATCCCATGCGTCATTGTTTTCTCCGCGGAAAAATTACACACTTCTGCACGTGCGCAAAGTTCTAAGACATACCGTGTTATTAAGTGATCAAAGGCCTTTGCAATCTCCCTGTGCCACAAAGCGTATTAAATCAGGACCTTGGAAAGGAAGTCTGCAAATCAGGAAAGCAAATGACTGCCTGTTCCACTATACCCACGGGTCTTCTTTGACAATGCCTGGCCTGATGAAGAATTTAATTTCTGCGACCTGTCCCGTCTGCCCTCCGAATCAGATTACGAGGAGCACCTCCCTACCCCGCCAATAACACTGTACCTTAAATCTCATTTTCAAAGGATTCGGCATTAGGTTTAGTGCTTTCAGATGAATAAAAACCTTAGTTAGCAACCTTTCAGCCAGGACTGTTGTAAGGTTTGAATATGTTTGCAAAATAAACCATATAAAGTCTGTTAAATAAAGAATCAGTTTTTATTTCATGGCCATAAATCTGTTTTGGTAATCATACTTGTATTTGGCTGATGCTCTAATTCAAAGTGACATTTATTTTATTTTTTTGAGAAGGCAGTATCAGCCAGTCTTGCAGTTTATGGGCCCTTGCTCACTGTTGATACCACCCTGCCAGCCCCAGGATTTGAACCAACAACCTTCTGATCACAGGGACACCCCCCCCCCCCCAAAACTGAAGCATACATGAAATTAAAAACCTTTAACCTAAAGGTTGCTGGTTCAGATCCCTGGTAGTGAGCCACTGTTGAGGATTTCTCCAGTACAATGCAATTTGTCCTTAAAACAACGTCTGACTTGCCCCAGATGAGATGGGGTACGGAAGCATGTATTATGGGATGGGAGGTGGGTATGGGGACTTAATTGTGGACGTTTGTGAGGGGAAACCCAGGAGGCAAGCTCAGGCAGCTGGCTCTGCGGGGCTCAGGGTGACATGGGCAGTGACAGGACAATGTGTTCGTCACTTAACCCAACTAACGCTGGACAAACGAGCTGAATGTCTCCCCCGTGTGTGATGACAGGTAGCCAGCGACAGAACAGTGAGGCGTCTGTCTACATCCGGCTGCTGGACGTCAATGATAACGCCCCCAGCTTCCCCTTTCTCTACGAGGCACACATCTGCGAGGGTATCAAGGGGGGCCAGGTACAGAGCCCTGGGGTTTGGGGGGGGGGGGGGGGGGTGTATGAGCCGTGTGGCAGGCACGAGTCGTTAGGCAATTGCTCGCACTGCCCCAGAGAGTAAAATGCGAGTATTACTACTGGAATACCATAATCATTCTTTTAAAAATTTATTCTGAAGACATGGTAACCATCAGGAACGGAATACTTAATTACTTTCGAAAGGGACCTAATAATAAAGACAAATAAACAACATTAACACGAAAAGATGAAAAATCGAATAATAAAACATTGCTTGCAAGACACATTTTCACATTTCAGAGTGATAAATACTGTCACTGCACAAGTTCCAGCAGATATGAGCAGGTATAGAGTTTATTCCTCATCTCTCAAAGTCGACGCCTTAATGGTGATGGTTCCGGTTAGACCCGACACACACAGTTCCTGTTCACTCAAGGAAACTCTGGAGAATATGGTGGAACATGTTCTACTTAAAGTAGCCCCGTCAGATACGATGTCCTGATCTTAACTCGGCGGATTCTGCCGCCGTCAGTCCGTACGGGGTTATGGAGCCGTCTCAGAAGACCGTAAATGTCAGCCCTTTCATAAAAATTCCTGTCAGAGCTGTAAGAAGAGAGTGGGATGTAGCCGACTGACTGAATTAGGAGGAATTTGAATATAGGTCGACCTTTTGAAGTTACAGGTACGAAAATTAGTGAAATTCCAGTGAAATTACAACTTGGGAACGCAAGTGAAAGGCTTCACAGGGAAAGATCAGCACTCAACATACTGTTGCAAAGACCTGGTGTACATTTACAGCAAGTGGCTGGTTTATTAAGTCAATGCAATAAGCCTGCTCCAGCAAACAGAGGTTCAGGTGAATTTATGCAGCACATAGAGAGGGTCAAGAGCTTCCATTACTGCTAGACTACGACTAGCTACAGTGCCCGATCTAAGCGATTTTGAACGAGGTGTGATTGTTGGCACCAGACGTGGCAGTTCTAGCCTCTCAGAAACAGCCGCCCCCCCCCCAGGGACTTCACACACTGCAGTGTTAGGAGCTTATAGAGAAATGTGTAAAGTACAAAAAAGCATCCAGTCAGCGGCAGTTCTGTGGCCTAAAACGCCCGTTTAATGAGAGAGGTCAGAAGAGAATGGCCAGACTCGTTAAAGCTAACAGGAAGGGCCACGACTGCAAAAATAACAGCTCGGTACAACGCTGGTATGCAGAGAGGCCTATGTGCTCACACAGCTCTGTACCCTTGAAGCTGGTGGGGGCCAAAGCGGACGACTCTCCCCACAGAGAGAATACTTGAGTTTGAGGCTTCGGTTTAGCACAGCTGTGTCGTACGTGCGCTTGTGTTTGCACGGCGTCGCTAAGGCGATCCCTCTCTACGACTCGGCAGGTCATACTGAACGTGAGCGCCACAGACGCCGATGCTCCGCCGGGAGGACACAAGTTCTCCTTCACGTTGGACTCAGAGAGCGCCGTCAGGACCAACTTCTCAGTGCGTGATAACAAAGGTAAGAGGACAGACGTAGACAGAGAGGCCGACAGTCACCCTATGCCATACCGCAGATGAGACACTTAACTTACAAACAGATACAGACACTTAACAGGAAGACTGTGCACTGAACTGCTGTTACCCTCATTATCAATGACTTGCTAATGCTAACAGTAGCGCACAGTCACCAGGCCCTGTCTGTTTCGCCTGAGCTCTTGCTCACGCTTGCCCCGTGCTGCCTCCTAGCCATCCTGAGATTTAGCCTTTCGAAGCCGCCCTTTTATGCACCTGTGGGAGCCCTCCGTTCCCGTCCCGTATGCGGGGCAGGCTCATGCTACAGCTTCAGAATGGAGCTCTACCCTTTAATAAACTCTAAACCTGGAAAGGAACCATCAAAGCTGTAAAAAGCACAAGAACTACACTTTGGTTGCACCAGCTTTCCCCCTTCTGGGTAGAGCCGGTATTCCCCCTTTTCCGCAGTCATTCCCTGAG